AACTTTTGTATTTTTTGTGGGTTTTTATGCTATAAATCTGACTTAACTATGATGTTAAGTACATAGCTAGTTATGTAAAGCCATGAAATCTGCCTATATTAGGCTTGCATCAGGCTCAAATCAGCCCGCGGTCCGACTGGTTGGGGTCTTAGATCAATTTCTTTTTGCAAAAGTGGCTGTACAGGTTCATGAGTACCATTTCTTGGTTCCTCTACACCTGAACAGTCCAAAAATGGGCTTTTCAAGAAACATCATGGCATAGAAAATACCAAAGTACCGGGTCAACTGCCCCAATTGTTCTTGCAGGGAGCCAGTCAGAGGGCTTTGGTGATAACAACTGTACTCCAGCTTCTCAGCTATTCAAAAGGTACACTGTAAGACCGGCTTACATGTTATTTGATACAGGTGCCACAGATGATTGAAATATCTTTCAATTGGGAAGTGGAAGACTTGGGTATAGCTCATACGTCTGTGAGGATTCAGATTCATAGGATTGACAAGCTTACTTGATCAACGTCTCAGCAACAATATGCTTCAACAGTTCTTCAAAGATTTTATATGACAAAGGCTAAACCAGCAGTAACACCACGTTCACTGAATGCCAAATTAGTTAAATCTACTGAAGAGGAAGCTCAAAGTTTGCTAAAATTAGGGCCCGTTCGGCTGGTTTTCCAAAAATTCGTTACACAAAAACGATTTTTCAATCTGCCCCTTGTTCAAGGGGCGGATTGAAAAACTCGAAATTCGGCTTTTTCATTTACCGAACAGTCGACCAAATAGGTCAAAGAAAGATCGAAATGGAGGGGCAAATAAGGGCAAAAACACTTTTTGGTCTCAAAAACAGCCTCAGGGCTGTTTTTCAAACTTGAAGATTTTTTGATCAAAAACGGTTGTTGTTTTTGATCAAACGAAGTTACCAAACGCCTGTGTTTTTGATGAAAATCAAAAACTGTTTTGACCCAAAAACGGTTTTTGGCTTTGGTGGTGCTTTTGACCAAAAACCGTTTTTGGGTTCCAGCCGAACGGGCCCTTAAACTTCCCTATAGGAGTGTGGTGGGCTCTTTGATGTACTTGGCCCAATGTACTCGGCCTGACATGGCTCATGCAGTTGGAGTCATGTCCCAGCATTTGGAAAACCCTGGACAAATTCATTAGGATTCCGCCTGCACTTTCTTAGGTATCTTTGTCATACAATCAATGTGGCACGGTGTACTCTGGCAAGACTCCAACAGTGGTACCAGGACAACAAAGCTTTGAGTGACCATTTTCACACTGCAATGCTGACTGGGAGGGTGATGTCAACACGTGTCGTTCCACTACGGGGTATGTGTTTGTGCTAGCTGGTGGTCCCATCTTGTGGAGGGATTGTCTTCAGCCTATGGTTGCTTTGTCGTCAACAGAAGCTAGATACAGAGCTATTACGGAGGCTTGTCAGGAGTTGCTGTGGCTGAGGAACATGATTTCAAGGTTTGATTTTCGCAACAAAAATCCTACTGTGCTTCAGAGTGATAACAGGGGAGCTATTCACTTAATGTCAACATAAATCTTTCGTGCCCAAATCAAGCACACAGAGATTCATTATCATTGGATAAGAGAAGTGGTAAAAAGAGGAGATATTTTTGTCAAGCACTGTCCGACTCAATTGATGGTAGCAGATCTTTTAACTGAGGCTCTCCTAAAGAACAATTATCAACACTTAGAAAGGGTTTGGGGTTGAGGTTTTAAGGGTAATGCTCTTTGAGGGGGTGTGTTAAGATATTATCTTGGTAAAGTAGTCAAAGACCATTTCCCTTATGTGGTAATTGAAGAGGCTGTTAGTGGTGGTTGTAAGAGTCATGGATGTGGCATGTTTTATCAAAAACTGCTGAGTGAGTAAAATAGAGATGAACAAAGGGGTAATTTGGAATACGTGAAGCAAGGGGTATGGAGGAATCTTTTTGGGTCTTTCATTTCTTTTGTAATTTTCTTTCCCTCTCTTTCTTTTTTTTGTGTCAAAAAGAATCAGTGAGTTTTCCTCTAAAGTCATCAACATCTATTTTTCTCTCTTGTGTTGCTGATATCATCACTCTCATCTTAGTAACTGTTTATTTTACAATCTTTCCAAAAGTTTTGTCTTACATGTTCTCTTCACAAATTCTTTTGAGCTCGCAGGTAGATAGATCTTTTCAAACTTCTTTATCAAGATTCTGTTTCTCTAATAACTTTTATCAAATTTCTTTCATTATTGTTCTCTGATGTTGTTAGGTTAGTTCATCTTGTTCTTGACGTAGACTAGCGTTAAAGCTGTAGTCTCACTTGGAACCTGTGCCCTCAGGTGTGTGTCAAAAAGAATCATAACTGTTTATTTTACAATCTTTCTAAAAGTTTCTTCTTACGTGTGCTCTTCACAGATTCTTTTGAGCTCACAGGTTAGTTCATCTTGTTCTTGATGTAGACTAGCGTTAAAGCTGTAGTCTCACTCAGAACCTGTGCCCTCAGGTGTCCTTTCATACTATACGCATTTTCTAGCAGAAAAGTCTACTCAAGATTCTTCAGAATCTCACGATAAATTCTAAACTTCATCTCACAAAACTCCAGATATATCCAAAAGTCTTGCAAAAGATTATGAAGTCACCTGCGCTTACAGACCCGGCAACTGTCCAGAAGACCAGGCATTGGAGGCGGCTGCAATTTTGGGCAAAGGCAAAACTCAACTTTGTTGTTGCTCAATCAGCTAGATGAGAACATTGAGTCTGAAGCAGTCCAGATTGCAGCCATGTCTATATCTAGGCTCCTTGACCCAGGTAAGTTCTGTCTATGCTTTTATTATAACTGTGACTGAATTGGATTTAATCTACAGATGTCAAACACAATCAATCTTCATCATCTTTGCAAACCAATGTACCCAAAAGAACGTCTGTGAGCATGATTGAAAATCAAAAGCTTCACAACAAGGCTTTGGTTTGTCTTTGAAAAAAACACCACAGTCAATCTCAAAGACACCAGGGTAATGAGTGAGACCAGGTCAATGCTGTCAAGTTACAAGTGGCCATAGCTTCTACCAGCAAAGATGGGTGTCTTGATCCTAGTGCATGCTCAAAGATCATTGTGGTCCACATGAAAAGTCAAACAAACCTTTCTTCTGGTGCCAAACGTAGACATTGTTGGAACATCCATGTGAATTTAAACATGGCTGGATTACTGACCAGAACATTGCTCCTTGGATACAAAACCTTGCAAGGTCTTTTTGATGGTGGCATCATCAGCACTCAGAACCCAATTCAGTCAAGTAATTTTGTGACAATCATCAAAAATCATGTCAATCTTATCTGTATAATCACAATACATTGATTGAACAAATGCTGATGCTTTCATTGATCTTTAGGTTCTTTATTTGGGTTACACTCTGGTTTTTTACCAGCATGGAAGTGGGAAACACTGCTACCTCTTGAAAGGAGTTATCACACATTCCTGTCCACATTTTATTTTATGAGGCAGCTTTTCCGGTTGCCCTGTCAACTTGTCCACACAGCAGAGATGGTTGGACCTTTGCACTTGTGGATGCAACAGACATGGCTTAGGGCCCGTTCGGTACCGCACGATATACGTATATCGCTACATACTACACCAAAGTAATCATTCAAGTTAAACAAGAACACTCGAATCAAACAAAATAGACAAATTCAATTTAAATCCACATATTGATAACATATTGCTGCCTTTAGCAGAAGCAATCCATGTTTCGAGCAGCCGAAGTTTCGCACTCGGTAGAATTACATTCCATTGCCCAATATAAATATAAAAATCAAATTTCAGATAACAACTAACCCAGATAATACCTCCAAATGAACTAATTATCACTGCCAGGATTAAACACTGTCCTAATTGGTATAATGTGTTGCTTTTTGGGGATAATTAATTTTGGCCATATAAATGCTAAGCAATTAATGCAAAAGTGATCATTATTCCATTAGGGACAGTGTTTAATCCTGGCAGTGTATATGTCGCTACGACTCACACAGATGTCCTATCATTATGCTTTCATGAAATTTGAGAGCGCCTTATGCTGCTCAACATGCGCTCCACCCTAAATAAGCAGATCCATTACATCCCTCAATTAGATGATCAAGCGTGCCACCACTTCCGATGAACAAATCTAATCCAACCCAATTTTTCTTGAAAAGTTCAAACTTCTCTTTTGTTTTTTTGTAATGAAGACAATAGCTGCTCTCATACGAATATTTTTGATAACTACGAGTTTTCTTCTTGCCCTTCCGTAATGATACTCTTGAAAACAATAAACTTGACTACCTGATTTGTGATCCTCCAAGTTATTATGAGGTGTTTCCGAAAATTAATTACTTGACTATCTGGTGGCGAATTGCTGTTTGATCAAGTTTAATAATCAATTAATTCCAACTATGATGGTTCATCAGATATATTTGAAAATACTTATACGTCTAGCAACTTCCATGCTTAGTATCTATTTCACATGCAAATCCCACATACGCCAGCTGAGCGTCTTGTACCCCAAATTCCGACAAGGACACCGCGGAAATTTATGTACACTACGCGATGGTTCCCTTGCAAGAACAATGTGAATTGCAAATGCATCTGGCAGCGATAAGCTTTAAGTTCTGCGCACTGATCATATACCGAATGTACCCGGTCATTAATTATGGCATTCGCACAAGACGATTTACTTAACTCTACATGAAAAAAATCACACTCTACCCTTCGAAGATTACTTCACAAGTGACGTAGTGTCCCCTTTTTGTGTCTGGGGTATACATCAACATAAATATTGTGTTCACTCCTTGATTAAGACTTATTCATACATAATAATTCCTCCTGCATCCTTTTCAATGCCACCGCTTTCACAATTTAATTCCGGATTTGATCCAGAACCCAGTATACTGAAGCTAAACCATGCATTATACAATCAATTCCACAAAATTCTATATAACATCTCCAGATCAAACTCGAGTTATTACTCTACTATTATCTTTTTCAAAGACAAAATGCCCGAACTCACAATAGTGCTATTAGACCATTCTATGACTACATCATTAAGCCAACATAGCTTCAATAACAGTATCACTGCCAATTCTGATTATGCCCGGTTTCAATTGTTACCCTCAAGACTCAACCTGTAAGTAATGTATTGAAACTCATAAATCCGTACAGTCACAAATCTAATACCGGGTTCATTTAATACTCCACTAGACGTATGTTACCGAACCCGGGTGCTACGAATCTGCTTGCCGCGCACAGAGCAATCCACGATGTAGCGCTGGATTCGTTAAACAATAACAGTACGTTTATTCCTAAAATGTCTCTAAAAAATTTTAATCAAAACTATATAACTAAGCCAATTTGTTTCTTTGTTACTGGCTTAGGCGGCTGTATCAGCGTGATTAGTTATGACAGTCGGGCCCAAATTGTAAATTCATGCATTCCTCAAGTCATCATTAGCATTGCTGTGAACAATTGTGACTCAGCTGTGAAATCTCAAAGCCAAGACCGTAGAATTTGGATGCCATTAGAAGTAGCTCATTACTACATCAGCATCGAATTACAGCGACACGGCGTACCCCATGTGCATTGGATACTCAGTAGTTCCTCACAACACACTATAATGTTATTTTGACGGCTTTCTAATTAGCTATGAAATACATTAGCTACTCGCGCAACACTTTCTGTTCTTCTTTTCCAGACCCATAATGTTATTCTGAAATATGTATGTTATAAATGAAGTTGATGTGTTGTGCATCACAGCTGCAATCAAAGTCAGTCATGAATTCTGCCATTGATGCCAAAATATTAAAAGAGCATTCTAGCTTTGCTTTGTGCACGATGATACACTTCCTAAACAGCTGAAGATTAAGCTAACTGAACTTGAGTACTATACCTCGAAACTGTTAATCTTAGGCCTTAAGGGTGACGGTTTACAGTGAAGGCATTAGGGTTAGGGCTGAAGATATTTCACAAGACACACCCGCTAGGAGTAAGCACCCCTCCTTACAAGCCCCACTTCTCGTTTTCAGTAGTTCGAAACTTTGCACAAATATACTCACCACGACGCTTGCGTCATTCTCCATCTCGCGACATCCGACAACTCAACATTCAAAGCCAAATCACCTCCTTCTTTCCGAGATCCCGGAAAATATCAATTGACATTACGACGAATCCTAACCTTCAGGTATAGCTGCGTAAGTATAATCGAAATTACCCGCACTCAGTATTCTTCAACACTCACCACTTTATTTGTTTTAATTTAAGACCATTTGTGCATTGTCCAAAATCAAAACTGTAGACATCGTTACTGACACCAAACTATGCATGATCACTCAACAATTATTCGCCTTCGCTTAGCAGCAAATACAATCTACCCACGAGAAAGACTCATTCAATCTGAGTTTCCCGAATTTCTTTTCAACACAGTTCAAGAAAGAATTACCAGACCATCGAGGACATATATCTGTTTCAATACAACGATCTCAATCCTAAATATGCATATAATCATACAAATGTAAGTCAATTAAGCATCGAGTAATTATCCAAACACTAACATTTACAAAATGAAATTTGAAAGTTAGATTCATCGGCATTTGCAATTTTAATAAGAACCTCCACCGATTCGAAATATATTCACCATCATCCACATCTACCAAATTAGGTATATATATATACATTTAATAAGCGACAGTGAAGCTGATGTCACCATTCATTGATCTTATTATCACCCAAAGACACGACTTCAGGGCGATCCCGCGTTGATCTTACAACTACATCATTGCATTAGAAACGAGAGGTTAATCATCCGAGCCACATTCAGCAAATCATTATAGGATATCATTAGTTATGCACTAAATTCATCATCACGCTCAACTCTGGAATTCACTCAAAAGCACCTGAAAGAACTACTATATATAAGTGCACGGTACAAACAATAATAACGATTGTTTCAGCTCCCCACGAACAACTACTATTATTCAATCATTCAATCTAATTGACCATCTGCAAACGTCAAGTCAATTTGCAAAATTATTTATAGTACAACGATTACTTCCACATACTCTTCGCAGTTATTTATATTGAAGGTAACGTGCAGTAATGTTGCTTTCTGCTTTCTATAGTAATTATTAACAGATCTTGGTTTTTATTTATTAAGTTAATTCAGAGCAAGTGGTTTCCTTGGTACTATTAATCTTGGATGGCTGATCCCGCCGAATCGACGACTCACGGTTTATACCTAACTGGAAACTTCAAAATTGAGAAAAAGGTACTTCAAAAGCCTCAATGGGACTAATTCCTTCTACTAACATTGAACTCATCTGCTTAAACCAGATTTCGCCAGAAAATGGGTGGCGAGCAGAGTACAGAACTTACGTTACCTCTATTAGCGGTGGTGGTGCTCATCGCGACCGCCTAATGAGCTACGAAATTGAGCTCCGAGGATTCAGCCAGGCTCAATTTAAGCTCGAGGCGGGCAACATCTATTTCCTTAGGGGATGTTTCTTTCCCACCAACACAGATGAGACTAACAAAGACGTACTATATTTTGAAGCCTCCGATAGAGTATTAATTAGTCCCTCCCAAAGCTTTAGCGGTAGCTTAATCAACTCAATTGCTGTTACCGGAGTTGGGATCGTTACTGCTATTGAGAGTTTCCGCGAGCCTATTACTAATGGCTGCCTACCTAATCCAGCGGATGGAGAGAAAATGGTCACCATTGTCACAGTCTTACATTCGGATTATCACCCAATTGTAAGAACATCCATTTTATTATTTCAATCCATGGCTGATACTTGCTCATTTGTAGGCAAAAAAACCCAAGCAATTCACCGTTCAATATCGCATTCCACCCACTCGTAATTTAGCTGGAACTCCAAAAATTTTGCAAGTTGGGCGCGAGTACCAGTTTCATGGTTTTTTGAAAGATTTTGACGAAAAGACTTTTGTCTACATAGTAATTGTAAGTTATTTCCGTATTTATGCAATTGTACGAGAGACTCCGCTGACTCAATGCATGCAGGCGAGCAAAGTTTCACCGACTACGGGAGGCAAGGAATACGATGTCGGAGTCAAGTCTAATGGATCAGCGAAAGAAGATGTAAAACCTCTGTTGTCACAAAACAAACCTGTAAAGTAAGTTGCTTCCAACTTTTGAACCTAAATATTATATACTAATAGACACCCCTTAACCAGATTCCAACCACGAGCTTTGAATGCACAATTCAAATCGCCAGTTATAAATACTGATTCTGAAACAACTCCGAACCTTCGATTCCCGCCGTCGGATTTCGGCCCTTCTTCTTTCTCGCCTGCGTCTACCCAACCTGGGGCTGGGCCTTCAGAGAGCTCTCCGGACACGGGTAACTCATCCACAGTTCCGACTCCGCCCACGAAGAAACGAAGTCGTGTTGCTCCAAAGCGCGGAAACAAGAAGGGAAAAACTCTTGATTTGACTTCAGCAGAATAATTTACCTATATTCGATCTTGAGGGTAAGCACTTCCATCGTTAGTGAGTATCTCTACTACTATTATACTAATATCAACCATGTGTACCGTTATAGATTAAAAAACCAGCAGTATGAATTGTGAATTCTTCAATTCAAGTCATTGTTCTTTTTCCACGCATCACCAAATTATTTTAAAACATATATTAAGCTCTTTTACGAATTATGATGTTATTGTTTCATGCACTTTTGAAAATACTAAAATTGTTATGCAATTGCTTTTTGAATTTCAACTGCTTACAAAATGACATTAAGAGACGTTGTACTATCTTTTTAGATCTTTTAGTAATTCATATACAACTTGATGCATTATTAACTAATCACCATCTATGTCCTCGATGTAGTGAGCAAATAAATAACAATTTTGAGCATACAAATCGAGTATTGGAGGACAACTAGACTAACCTATATTGATGTTTGGGTAATAAGGGCAGTACTTATTTCCTATCCTGTGACTAAGATTTGCGAAACAATACTTATATATGCCCTAGCAATGTTTCGACTTTATTATTGAGGAACTAAATCGCATAATTTGTCAACAGTTGTATTCATACACTGAAGACCAAATTAATTGTCAAATCATTAAGCTCAGTCCAAATTCAAGTGGCTCAAAAATAAGTTAAGAAACATCAAGACTCGATCCACACATCAAATTCTGCGAGCAATTATTATTGTACAAGGCAATGTAACGCAGAAATCTTCTGCCCAATATTGTTAAATTTACTTAACCAAATAAGTGAGATCTCATTTAGGGAGGTAATTTCGGTAACTTCGCACGGACGTGACATTGCTTAAGAAATATTTTGTCCCCAGTTTGATAATTAGGTGACTCTACGATACTCACAATCAAGTCTTAAAAGACTACAACAAATCATTGATTAAAGCAATATGTGTATCAACCATGAAGTTGAATTACGTCATTGTGCTGGAATATTAGTAAAAAGGTGAGCTTTCAGTATTTGAATCTCAGCTCAAATAATTCTCTGTCAAAACCCAAACGAGAAACTTCACTTAAAGTAGTTCATAGCAACAGTATCACCTCTAAGGCCAACCTGCTAGAGTGATCCGTTATCTCGAAACGTTTGGATATTCAGTTCGCAAGTATTTAGTAATACGAATTACCACAAATCAACTGTCAACATTATATACGTTGATTTATCATAGTAACCAACCCTTTGGAACGAAACATTAAAGGTAAGAAGTAAATTACTAAATTAACTCGCACTGTTCCGCTTATGGAATTAATTCTGAACTGTATAGCATGTAGAAGGGATTGCTAATTTTCCAATTTCTTCTGCTCGGAATCCAAAGTTGTATCATGCCCAATTACCGTCCTCGAAGGGGACTCGCAATTCAATCCGAACCGTTGGGTAGCGAAATTAACCTCCGCACACGCTTCAGTAACGAAATCCCGCACAACATAGGTCGCGCAACAGACCGGTGTTCTGGATGTGGCGCACTGAGATGGGTTATTGAAAGAACATTCAGAGATCGGAATCTGTTAAGCTCAACTTACGGGAATTGCTGTCAGCATGGCCAGGTCGAAGTCCCAATGCGGTACTTTGCGGACGATGTCGAGCAGGAAATTCCACCATTTTACTATGTGTTACTGACAGCGCAGGATCCAGGTTAGTAATGTATCTAAATTTAGTCCTATACTGCAGAATCCTAATTCAAAAGTTAGTTTCAGTACAATTTAGATCTGATATACAAAAATAGGATCCCGGTATCCCCACCACCCCCCCCTAGTAACCCCACCACCCCCCTCCCATTCACAGCTAGTGAAAGGCTTAGTGCCTGGTGACACATGTCGTGACAGTGCCAGATTGAACCACGCTCCCATCTTTGTAATTTTTGAAGTTCACCCAAAAAGCTTCAGCTCTATCCAACTTTTTCCCAGCTCCATATCATCCAACTCCACAGCTCACAACTTCAAAACTCTTGTCATCATCTAACAACACACCACACCTCAAAAATGGATTTTGGCGAAGTTATATACCCATCCTTACAAGAAGCTGAAGATGCACTGCGGAACTATGCCAAAGGATCAGGCTACTGGTTGAAAATCACCCGCACCTGTTCTGATAAACATAAGAGACAAAAGAAACGAGTCTTTGCCTGTTCTCATGGCGGAACACCTCAGCAAGTCGTCAGTGCAGTTCGATCCACCTCAACTCAACTTCTGGGATGCAATTGGTCTGCTACAATTCGACGTGTGGAAATCACTCATCAGTGGAAGATTGAATTTAAAAATGATCAGCACAACAATCATGAACCTTCTACAAACCTTGCTGAGATACCAGCTTCACGTAAACTTGCACCAGAACAGCACAACTTTGTTATTAACCTTGCAAATGCAGGTGTTCCTCCACGACTCATTCTACGCACCTTGAAGGCATCCGATCCCACTAACTTGTCAACCAGCCAGGACATCTACAACATGATCAAGAAACAAAAACTTTTGGATCTCAATGGACGCACTCCACTTGAAGCTTTGATAGACAACCTCAAGGCAAATGATGTGTTCCATACCTATGAACTGGATTCTAATCACCG